TAACTTAACTCTGGTTTATCACACCTGAGTTCAATTTCTCTAGCCACATCCCGGCCTGATTACTGCCACACCTGTTCGCAATCTGAGCAAAAAGAACATAAAAGCCCGTCTCCGTTATGCCAGAAAACATCTTGATGATCCCCAAGACTTTTGGGGAAATACTCTGTGGACTGAAGAGACAAAAGTTGAACTTTTTGGAAGGTGTGTGCCCCACTACATCTGGCGTAAGAGTAACATCGCATTTCAGAAAAAGAACATCATACCAACAGTAAAATATGGTGGTGGTAGTGTGGTGGTCTGGGGCTGTATGCTGCTTCAGGACCTGGAAGACTTGCTGTGATAAATGGAAATGAATTCTGCTGTCTACCAAAAAATCCTGAAGGATAATGTGTGGCCATCTGTTAGTGACCTCAAGCTGAAGCGAACTTGGGTTCTGCAGCAGGACAATGATCCAAAACACACCATCAAGTCCACCTCTGAATGGCTGAAGAAAAACAAAATAAAGACTTTGGAGTGGCCTAGTCAAAGTCCTGACCTGAATCCTATTGAGATGCTGTGGCATGACCTTAAAAAGGCGGTTCATGCTCGAAAACCTTCCAATGTGGCTGAATTACAACAATTCTGCAAAGATGAGTGGACCAAAATTCCTGCACAGTGCTGTAACAGACTCATTGCAAGTTATTGCAAACGCTTGATTGCAGTTCTTGCTGCTAAGGGTGGCCCAGCCAGTTATTAGGGTTAGGGGGCAAACACTTTTTCACACAGGGTCATGTGGGTTTGGATTTTGTTTTCCCTTAATAATAAAAACCTTCCTTTAAAAACTGTATGTTGTGTTTACTTGTGTTATCTTTGACTAATATTTAAATTTGTTTGATGATCTGAAACATTAAAGTGTGCAAACCAATGAAAAATCAGGAAGGGGGCCAACACTTTTTCACACAACTGTACATCTGACACGAGGTCTACTTTAAATACAAACACAACCTTGTAGGTCACATGTGTGAAAGTGCATTACTGTGTTATGTTGATGTTTCTTCTGTTCAGGTTTTTTACATGATGGGAAACTTCCCCTGCAAAGTGCAAATTCCCTTACAAAGTGAACAGTGTTTTTGCCTTTAGTAAATCAACACCAATGAGTCTAGCATTTCAGCCTCTATTACGGCCAACTAATAATCTGAGTTTACTACTTACTTATCTGCTGAATTCCGAAACCTTGTAAAGAATGGAAGATTTATTCGCAGTGTTTCAGACTTAAACTGGCTCAGCCCATATCCAACCACAGCTCTGAAATAATAATTGGTTTGTCAGATAAGAATCATTGTGACAATTACTACCAGTGTTTACTGCTATATTGCATTAATAAACTTCCTTCTGGGTAAAATCATATATGACAAAAATTTTCTCCTAGTCCTTGATATATCCCAGAACTAAAAAATGAGTTGTGAGAAACAAAGAGTGCCTTAAATGGAAGGAGAGTGAAAAATTGCGCAAATAATTAGTATGGCACATACACTTTAGTCCTAAGGATAAAAACACATTGGGGGGGAATTTATCAAAACTGGAGCAGACAGAATCTGGAGCAGTTGCCCATGGCAACCAATCAGCATCTCTCTTCTGTTTGCTCGGGTAAGATTTGAAAATGAGACAGAGAAGCTGATTGGTTGCCGTGCAAATCTGCTCTAGAGTTTGTCTGCTCCAGTTTTGGTAAATTCCCCCCATTATATTCAAGGTCATGGAATACCACATTTAGTGAGGACTATTGATGTTTGAGTGTAAGCCATTAATGGGCCTTTTCAAATATTACAATTTTTACTTGGCATATACTGTACTTCTGGATGTTCCCTGTAAGGGAGAATTCCAACTACACATTTTATCAACAGGTTTGTGTATTATGTGTGAAGATGATCTCTGAATTAGAAAAAGCAATGGGGGGAATTTATCAGAACTGCAGCAGACAAAATCTGGAGCAGCTGCGCATGGCAACCAATCAGCTTCTCTCTTCAGTTTGTTCAGTTAAGATTTGAAAATGAAAGAGAGAAGCTGATTGGTTGCATTGCAAAACTACTCCAGATTTTGTCTGCTCCAGGTTTGATCAATTCCCTTCAATGTATTTACATATTTTACTCTTTTTTTATACTCTTAGAAATTACATATTCGGAAAAGATCAATTGCTGGTTCACAGAAGACACCCACAATGACAAACAAACCCTTTAACCCAATACTGAAACCCAAGCCACTGTAGTAACCCATACATCCTAATTGCAAAACTTCTCTGGCTACAAAAAAAAATCCAATTATAATGTTTATGTTTTGCAAAAATGAGCAGCATAGCAAACCGTTTTTGTTGTTTCTGGTTAAAGGGACACTGCTGACTTGTAGGTATTTGGAGTCCTCCTCCTCAACTCTTAGTAGTGAGAAACCTTCCTTATGCAGCTGGATGATCATTTATAATGGAAAAAACCCTGTAATCTGCTCTGGAAAAGATTTTGGTGATTAGAACTAAAGTATTGAAGGGCAAATGTCCTTATTTAACCCAGAGTACTATGTTAGGTAAGTTTGTCAAGTTTAATCCAATTTTTGAAATACTTAGTGGTAATTAAACTAATTTTCTTTGTCAATCTTTACAAAACCCTTTGCCAAATATGAACTATTTTGTTTATAATTAACTTACTTGAGCATAATCAGTGAACAAAACTCTGCTAAACCTTGTAAAAGCACATAAAATGTGAAGCCATGCTGCCAGTCAAATCAAAGACAGACATCTCCACCCTATCTGTGAGAATCATGTGTAACTGTTATCTGGAGGGCAGGAGCCATACATCAGCAGACACACCTAGGAGGATTTATGGTACCATCTATGTCCCATTGGGGAGATCTCCTTTCACTTCCTGTCCCACATGTGCAACAGGAAATGAAAGGAAATCTCTCTAAAGTGAGGAGAAATCCTCACATAGACAGTTGTTAACAGAACAAATGTCCCCAATGGAAAATGTCAACTCACTACCGGTGATAATAGTCACCAGGACAAACAGAGAGTGAATCTCCCTAGCGGGAACACAGACAGCTGTAGAAACCAGACTGGGGTTCTAATTCCTCTCCACTCTGCCTAAAACTAAAAAAAGTTTAGATACACTTTAAGTTGATTACCAAGTAACCATAAAGTGTAAGTATTAGTCTGTTAGTTCCATCTCAGGAAAAGATGTTTGTGAATAGCTCAGTGCTCTCTGTAAAATGTGGGACTATATAGGTGCAAAATAACCCGGATAAAATATTATTTAAATATTTAAAGCTCAACTGTAAACTTTATTTTTTTACAAAATTTTGGACAGCATGTGAAAGAGTCCCCTCTGGGGGGAATTACACCTAGCTTCCTATGTGGTAAACAGGACAAGGAGCGAGGAAAATCGAGTAACTAGCATACAGTAAGCAGGATCAGCACTTTCTTTTACTAGATTGTGGGAGGGATGGAACTTCTGGCAATGTTTATTGCTGTCTAGGTCAACATTTGTGCAATTCTCTTCACAGTCTGTGTGGTTGCTGGGACAGGAAGTGAGTAAAAAATTATCTACCAATGGGGACACAGACATCAATAAAACCTGACAGTTCTGATATATAAAGAAACTATATTTCCTCTTACCCAACATAAACCATTGGAGCTTCCGGGCCACAGAAGAGTCCTGCCGATACTGCTAATGCACATGAGAAGAATGTTCCCAAGAATGTTCTTATATTAAAGATGTGCCTCAGTGATGCTCCATTTAAGTACCCAATGACTTCAGGGAGACCACTGGGTGACCCAGTTGGACATAAAAACTAAAAGAGAAAGAATATTTGACTTTTTTTTAAAGAGATAACACCTTTGCTATACTCACATGACTGCAATTATTAATTCTTATGAGACTCTAAAAATAACTCCCTTTTATTTAAAATAAGTATCCTGATGTGTTAGCTTTGTGAATTAAGCCTATGGCATTTAGGAAGAGAATCTAAACCAACGAAACCCCCAGTGTTAGTACACATAATGTTTTTTTATAAAAAATAATGTGATGTGGCAAATATTTTCCCGTTTTATTTATCATGGTTAGGAATAGAAAATGTGATTTCAAAACATATTTCCTTCAAATCAGGTAAATAAGAAATCTTGCGTAATTAATATTTTCTTTTTTTCTATCAGGTGGAGCTTCAATTTCCTTTACACATATATTCCAGAGATTGCTTAGAACTTTGTTCTTTACAGAGCTCCATAGCTCAAGCAGCAGCTTACACATAGTACTGAATGATGTCCCAGTGACTCATCCTTTAACACATGAATCAGTCTGTAATTTCAGTCCACAAAGCCAGCCACATAGCTGGCTATAACTGTTGTGCTGTTTTCTACATAACCCATAATGACATGGATATCCTTTGTCATGTATTCCTTTTTTTTTTTTAAATAAAGATTGCGTAAAAAATAGATTTAAACATCAGTCTACAAAATGAAAGCCATTACAATTAAATTGACCCCATAACATTAGATTCCCTTGAAATCGAAACAAAAAAAAAACATTGCTGACAGGAAGATTTTTTTGGTAGAAGAGTCTTTGTATATTTCTTCTTCCAAAAAACTCCTTATTTTTGCACACTCCCTGCAGCCCATTCTCAACGTAACATTATGGCAAGTTATCCAAGGACCAACTGTGGCTTTATTTCTGCTTTAATCTTCCACCTGAAATAAATGGAAGTCACAAGCTGGTAAAAGGCACACTACATACATATATTTAAACTGTGTTATTTAATTCCCTTCATGAATTCAGCCCCTGAGTTTCAGCCTGGCATTTATTTTTTACACCTGGCTGATATTCAAGCTAAATCCCATGGCTCTAAGCCTGCAAAAAGGCAGGTTCATGGGTTCTGCAATTCTATCTCTGCATTTTATCTGCACCTATTGCCTCATCCTCATTATTAGAGCATGAGAGAAATAAAATGTAATACACATTTTGAAAAGGATGAGGTATTGCTTAGAAGCTCTGTATATAAGATACTTACCTTTTCAGCAGCCCATGTATTGAAAAGACCCAATGTCTTCTCTCCCAAGCCACTGCAAGTCTTTTACACTTCTGGGTGTGCAGAATACTTGCTCCTCCTCTGGCACCTGTGGTTCTTCCTGTTGGCTTGTACATCATTACAGAGTGTATTAGCCAGCAGGAGGCTGGAAAGGAGAGCAAACACTTGACTCATCCAACAACCAAATGCTTACAGCAGCTCGAAAGTGGAGATTGGGCAGATTTTTAATGCACAGGCCACCAGAAAGATAAGTAAATAAACCCTTCTTTTATTGGTGGCCTTTTCTGTAAAAGTAACTCTGTGGTTACATAGACAGCTATATAATCTCCACCTTTCCTCATTTTAGTGAAATATATCATGCAGAAGATGTTTGGACAAGTACCAGGCATTGTGATGAAAAATTGGTGCAAGCAAGTAATTGAGTGATCACTAGTACTTGGTTCCAAATGGAGACTATTTCGTTAAATAAGGAACAAACGTGTGTAATTCAGCTCCACGGAATAAAATTCATGTTTTTTTCTGTTTACTATTTCTTGGTTTTAAGTTATACTAACCACCACAAGGCCTGATGCGCAGAAGACCATGCCAAGACCGACTCCAAGAATGAACAGCCATGTTGTAAAAAAATCCCCATGCTGGAAAGATAAAAAGAAGGCATGTTTAGTCTAGTCAATCTAATTAATTTAACACATATGAATATACTTTACGTCAGTATAATGAATCTGCATATTAACTTTTTTAATCCCAAGGACTATACAATGGACAAGGACTGTATACTATTAGTTTAAGGAGGGGTTCTTTACAGTATGCATGAGGAAATATGTTTTTGTCACATGCAGCCTCTTTATAGTGGCAATCACATACTCCTTACTTATGGCAGTGGTTTAAAGATTTAATCTAAATTAGCCCTTGGCTGTTTTCCAGTTGATAAAGCCTATACTCCCTTATGTAATTTGGCAGCTGTGTACTTCACGTAATGTTTTATGACCATTTTCTCTAAGATACAATTTTGTAAATTGCACTTTTTACTATAAAACCTATTATCAAAAGCTTTGATCTTTTTCTGAAATCAGGTAGGTGTGGTTCTCGGTAGATGTCAATGTGACCTCTCGAAGAATTATTCCATTCAATTCAGCATACTGTTTTATCTGAGTTTGACATGCCTTGCATGCCATATAATGGCAAAATCAATACTAATCTCCACAGCTATAATTATTACAGGATAATAATGGAATATTTTGATCCAGAGAACTAGTCAGACTGCCCTGACTAGTGTCAGGAAGGCTTTTCTCTCGTCTGTGGCAAAACTAGACACAGTTTCCCCAAGTAGATTTGTTGCCTTCCTATGCACTACAGCTTTGCACTTGATAGACATATTAACTATTTAACTATATATTGCGCTGGGTTTTTCACTTACACTATAGTACTAAAAGTATGGGCCATATAGGCCTATATTTTTCAGAGAATGCGCCTCAATGTCAAAGTGTTACCCAAGGATACCGGTTCATGGATCCTTCCTTAATAACAGACCTCGGAAGCTGTAGCTTGTAAAGTTTGATCACCTGTTGCAGCTCAGAAGTGCTCAGTGAGTGCAGCTCAGAACTGTAGTGTAGTAAATGCCATTAACACTTATGAACAGTATTTCATATGTTCCTCCCTTACTGGTACTAGAAAACTTATATAAAAACTACATTATGAATCTCACCTGCAGACACAATGACATACACAGTTAGAGCAGCCACTATATACAGGTGAAACTCGATTAATTAGAATATCGTGCAAAGTTCATTTATTTCACTAATGCAACTTAAAAGTTGAAACTAATATATGAGATAGACTCATTACATGCAAAGCAAGATAATTCAAGCCGTGATTTGTCATAATTATGATGATTATGGCTTACAGCTCATGAAAACCCCAAGAACCCCAAATCCACAACCTCAAAAAAGTAGATTATTACATGCAATCAATAAAACAAGGATTGTACATAGAACAATATCGGACCTCTGAAAAGTACAAGCATGCATATGTACTCAGTACTTGGTTTGGGCCCCTTTTGCAGAACTTACTGCAATTACTTTTGCACGATATTCTAATTATTCGAGTTTCACCTGTACTTCTAAACCATAAAAATAACATTCTTTTCTTTTCAGTAGGGATGAAATTCGGCTTTGGAGCCACCTTTGGTTCGAGACAGATCTCATGGTTTGCAGTGCGGTGGATCTCTGAATTTATGGCAGAAAATTCAAATCCATAATGTACTGACCCTAGTCAAATGGATCCCTGAGAGCCAATAATCAAAAAGAATGGACAAGCCAGCCCCCTCAATATAAAAGGGTGGGCTCCCAGGAGCCATATTGGCAGTGTGTGTGTTGTTGTTGGTTAGGAAAAGCTGACAATTTTGTGTAAGTTAAGATACTTTGCTATAGAGTGCTATACTGTGCTATAGAAAGTTATACTGTAAATTGCAGTGTGGTGAGCTACAAACATTGTTTACCCACTGGGTTCACAGTTTAACAAACCTAACCGTTCTTCTTAGGAATGTGTGCTTGCTTGCTAGCTTCTGTGCTACTGCTTTGCATATTTTGTTTCTTTTATGATTTATGCTTCCATTTAATGTTTTCAGATTTTACTCTCTAGGATTAACAAAAATATTGGGCTTATGTTTTGGGTGGTTAGTCTTTTAGGGTTATTTTTTGGTTTGTATTGCTAGGGCCCTTTTAAAGTTTGGTGTGTGCAGCATACAGTTTTTGCTAAACAGTTGTTAGAACTGGCCTTTGTATGCAGCATGCCTCTGCATTGCTGAGTGGTAACTACACATACACATACACCCCCCCCCCCCCCCCCCCCACACACACCCCGACACCCCACAGA